TTTTTTTTTTTTTACAATCACTACCCTCAAATTTCCAGCATTTATACAAATTGCTTTGAAAGCACTAGAAAAGTATTATTATGTGCCTTTATCTTATTTACCCTTTTGTGATTGGCTTTGATTTTTTGAAAGCCTTGGCTTATTCCCACAGATTAATTCGCATGGGTATTATAAAGTACACTGTTTTTATAGTAGATCTTAGGTATGTAAGCCTATAAAACTTGACTTATTTGACAATGCCATATTAAGAATACAGGGAATTCTGATATCAGATTGAAATTCCCAAGTGAGTGTTGTTTGTTTTGAAATATATCACAAATATGAGATTACTAGAAAATTGCTTACTTGCATGGAGTTCTCAGCTCAGTGCAGGGACCATTCTATAGTGCAGTTTACTTTTAGACAGTTCTTAGCATTTTATGGCTAATTGAGAAATGTTGATTTATCATGATGAATTTATTCTCTTGTTATAATTTACATATGTTTAAAAATTAGTGAAAGAATCAAAGGTTTATTAAATTAGTTGTGTTGGGAGTTCATTAAGACATTTCACTAAGGTTGTAAGAAGAGTTGGAAATTCTAAATTTAATCTGCTTGTTCAAGGACAACCTTTTTGTGTGCTGTGATCATTTTTACTACATTTTTACTACATTTACTTTTAAATAGATTTTGAGTGAAAAACTGCAGTTCTTCTATGCTACCACTTGGTGATAGCATCACTCCATACTGAGACAGTATATTATCCCCAGAGCTAGAAGAATGCACCTGAGGGTATTTTCATGTGTGCTTGATGAGGTTGGAAAGGCTGCTGTGTGGGCACGTTAAAAATATATATGAAGACTATTAAAGATCATGGAATCTGAGAACTGAGAGGAACCTAAAAAATCTTCTAGTCCATGAGTTTTTAACCTAAAGTCTGTGAACTTTTTAAAGTGAACTTTAAAAAAAAAAATTATTTTGATAAAATTGGTTTCCTTTGTAATCCTATGCATTCTATTTTATGTATTTAGTAATATTATTCTGAAAAAGGGTCCATAGGCTTTATCAGACTACCAAAGGGGTCTATGAGAGAAACCGAAGTTCAGAGAAATTTAATGACTTGGCCAATGTCACTTACTTCATTTAGGGGTAGAGCTATGAAATGGGATTCTCAAGGTTTCTTGACTTCTAATCCAATGCTCTTTCTGTTGTAGCCATTGTTTGGATGGCCACTGGATGAATGCTCTTTGTGGCATTCACCTGTTTACTTGTAGCCTGGTTGTGCACTCATCCATCCATCCATCCATCCATCCATCCATCCTTCCATTCATTAAGCACTTAGGGAACTGCAACTTGTACAACAGACAGTATGAGGAGCCTTAAGAGACAGTAAGGAGATCTGTTCTCCGACCCCCAAAAACACTCTAGTTAAGAGATTTAAGGTATATATGCAAAATACTGTAATGCACATTAGTCCTAAAGACCGGGAGAAAGTTATAAACGGTTAAAAAAAGAATTACCTGAATAAATACCACCCCAAATCCAAAGGCTAATGTAGAAACTACTTACTGCACATCAGTAGTATCTGTCAGCATCTGTTATTTCCCAAAGCTATGCTGAATAGTCTTGAATTTAGCTTCCATGTGCAACTATGGACAGGGATTTTGTGAGGTTCAAATAACAGTTGTAAAAAGCACTTTGCAAATGTTATAGTGCTATACAAATGCCAGTTATTATTCTTAGCTTCCAGTCACTCGGACTCCAATCTTGGGATGAGTTAATTCTCTGAGCTTTCTATTACTCTTGCTGAACTCTTCGTAAAGCAACACAGAGATGCGCTGGTAAATGTTTAATAACAGGGTGGGAGGAGGGGGGAGAACTGTAAACATATCCTTTTAAGTTTAATCTGTGTTAATACTTTCTTAAGTCTAGATGATCAACAAAAGAACAAATCTGGACACTGATTTGTAGAGGTTGCTGATTTCTAAGAAATTCTATTCTCACACTGAGAATTGAACAATCAGAACTGGCTCTATTTCACTCCTGCCCTTGGGATTCTTCTGTCCATCACACAGTCGACCCTTATTCAGTTCCCTTGGGTATTCTGCTATCAAACTTTTTCTGAGCAGCATCATATGATTCAGAAGGATATTAGAAGTTCTCTGGTCCAACCCCCTCATTTTATAGTTGAGGGAGAAGCCTCAGAGGTAGGAAGCAGTAATAATTCAATTCTACCTCCCTTAATTGGAATCGGATCCAGGATCTTTCTCCTGAATGATACTGCCTTTCTATGCCTAGCCTAGGGGACCTACGTTGCAGCTACCATCATTTCAAATTAGAAGCACACATTGGGCATAGACCTTCAGATCTGGAGGAGACCTTCAAGATTATCTAGTACCCAGCTCATTCAATTCTGGGATTATTTTCTTCACTCATTGAATTGTGCATACCTTTTTGTATGCAGAAGAGTTCCACCATATGCTGTTTAGATAAAAATGCACTATTTTTTGCTTTCTCCTTTTATTCTCATTTTGGGGTTACATGCAACTTATAGGACCTTCATCCGCATTCCCGGGTGGCAAAAAAGAAAAAACAGCAGAGTCTGAGTGAATGTTAAATGTGACTTTTAGGTGACACTTTCAATGAAGATGAATTTTTACTTTTCTGGCAGGCTCAAGTCACTGCAGAAAGAATTGGATAAAACTGTGACTATAAAATTTTGGTCTGGGTCTGGAGATAGACTCTGTACCTGAAAAAAGACTAGGCTTTTGTTTCTTTCACATATCTTCAAAACTGGACTTATCCAGCAGGTCAGATTTCATCCTAATGGATCCTTATGGAATAAAAAAAAATAAAAACATTTTCCAGAAGTCATTGAGCTGGTGGGAAAAAGAGAGCAATTGTAACTTCATGGTATTGGTGGTTGGGTAGGAGAAATTATTTAATGCTTTAATGACTTAAATATCTTCTCTGAAGCAGTTTACCAGTGTTATCAAAACATAGACCTTAATAATTGGGGACTAGTGTTGTGAAAGGAAGTTAGAGAAAAGATCAAGCAGTCTCAGTGAATAAAAAGCTGGCTATGCACAACAATGCAATGCTATAATTAAAAATGCAATCATAGCACTAGGGAGTATACAAAGGAGAATCTAAAGTAGTAACCAAAAAGCATTTCTCTCCGTATGCTCAGCAATGATCGAGTCAGTTTCTTAATGAGAGTATTGTGGACAGTTTTGGATTCTGTTACTAAAAAGGATACATAATGGAATCACATCATGCTTGCATTTAACTTATGAATTCAACTGTATTTTGTGTGTGTGAGAGGAAAAAACACACACAGAGACAGAGAGAGACAGAGAGGGAGAGAGAGGGAGAAAGAGAGAGAGACAGAGAGAGAATGAGAGAGGGAGAGAGAGACTGAGACAGACAGAGAGAAAAGGAGAGAGAGAAGGAGAAAGGAGAGGGAGACAGAGAGACAGTGAGGGGGAGAGAGAGGGAGAAAGAGAGAGGGAGAGAGAAGGAGGGAGAAAGAGGGAGGGAGACAGAGCGAGAGAGAGACAGACAGGAAGAGAGAGAAAGACAAATAGACAGGGAGCAAACAATTAAGTGTATGGCAATAAATATCCTTAATCATTGCACACCTTGTACTTAATTAAAAAATGCCCCAGAGTGAACATGAGATGGGAGACATATATCTGCTTTTTTTTCTTTAACCAGTGTTATTTCTCAATGTCTCTCATAGTATGAGCATCTTACCCCTCCCTAAACGTAGTGTGATTCTAAAATCTCATCCTCATCATACAATCATTTAATTCTTCTTAGGCTGGTTGAGCTAATGAGGGACAGTCTTAATTGGCCTTCCCAGCTAGATCACAGGTGATGATAATAATAGCTAGCATTTACATAGGACTTTAAGGTTTGCAAAACATTTTAAATACATTGTTATTTGAGCTTCAGGACAATCCTGTTAGGAGGTGCTATTATTATCTCCATTTTTAAAAATGGGGAAACTCAGGATCAGAGAGGTTAAATGACTTGTTCAGAGTCAGACAGCTCATAAATGCCTGAGGTGGGTTTTAAACTTAGGTCTTCCTGACTTCAAATCCAGGGCTCTATCCACAAGAGTCATGCTCTCTCTCTAAATCTAGATCTGGCTTCCTGGCCCTGGTAGAAGGTCTCTGCTGTGATTGTTCTGAATTTCTTGCCTTGGGGTGAAGCAAGAACAGAAGTCCTTCCTAAGAATATTTTCACTATAATGATCAGTTTTCCCAGTAACTATGGTTTTTTTTTTTTTCCTGTTTTTGTTTTACTTCATTTGAATAGAAATTCTGCTTCCTACCTCTCTCCAAATCAATACATTTACCTGGCGTAGTGAAAAATAAACTTACTTTT